TCGGATCTGAGAGAGTGAGCGACACATCAATAATGAGATCAATTCAATGATAAGACAATAGGTTGTGTACAAACCGATTGGTGGTGTAATCACATCCCATCCAAAGACATCTGTGCCATAGTTTGCCGTCGATTTGACACTTCTCTACGAATTCGTCGATATTCTTGTGTCCAATCAATGCTTTCGACATCTTTTCTCGCTTTCATTCATCCGTGTCTTGTCTTCCACTCAATTGATCCCAAAATGCAATAAATTGTGGACTAAATGGTGAATTGAGTGCACATTTGGTCCACAATTGATGAGACAATTAATGAGACATTTATTTCTCACTCTTTTAGGCAAACAAACAGTTTGTGTGTAAACTGAGGGACCGTTTGCTCATTACATACGCCTATACTCTCTGTCACTCATTCAATACAACCGTTTATAACGGTTTTGATTGTCAATACATGTATTGGTAGTGATATTAAAAATGGCATTTATAAAAATAAATGGCTTGTCGGGCACATTCCCAGTCGGGCATATTCCCGATAAATGTCCTCAAAAATAAATAAATGCCCACCTTAACTAGATGGCAGCACCGCTTGAAAATGTTTTTAACGTTAGACGTTGAAAAAATGTAGGGCATTTATTGGGCAGCTAAAATAAACGTCCGATAAATGCCAATAAATGCCCGGCATATTCCCTTAATTCCATGCCCATGCCATAAGCGTCTTAACCCTATTCAATACAAGTGGCACTCATTTGTAATGGTATTGTAATTTAAAAGCGATTTTGTGGACAATAGAAAAAACGGAAGCAGAAATCGTTTAAAAATGTTTATAATATTTTTTCTCAAAATTTCCAGAAATAAAAATTTATTTTTAATTACTTATAAAATATTAGAAATTAGTATTCAATAATTGTGTTTAAAGTTTATATGTTGGTCACTCTATTCTTACACAAAGTACGATAGCTTTTGAGCAACACTACATTAGTTAAATACTGTATGTAATGACTCTTTAACTAATTCATAATTTTTGTATAATTTGCATATTTTGCATATTAAAGGACTCATTTATTGGTTCCTCCTAACTTTAATACAGGTCTTAACTAATATGATCATGGTGATCATTATATTTATAAAGAAGGTACAATTGGTGACCATATATTTTCCTATTATTTAATACACAAATATTACTACAAAAAACACATTTGAAGTGTTAAGTTGAATATTTTGAGGCAACATAATAATTCGTCTACCTTATAGGAATTTCTAACTCATCGTTAAAGTTGGCATTTGATTAATATTGTAATATGGTCAATATATTGTATATTAATATTGTATTGGTTATTTGTGAACAATAATTTTTATTTCATTATAAAACACACTGTTTTGCTGTTCACTAAATTCAGTTTTATTTGAGTTTCAATTATTTTGTGTTACAAAATGTGTGGAATATATAGAAAATCATCTTTGGATAGATTTGGTGACGATTTGTGCGAAGAGTTGTTGTCTTTTCTCACATTTGAAGACAGATTTCGTTGTGAAAGTGTCTCAAAACAGTGGAAACGAGTGGTATTTGAGAGACAATTTGTGTTAAACATTGATTTAAAAGTAATTAATGGAAATTTGATTATAACGGAGAAGATAGTGAAAAAGTGTCCAAATATTACACACATTTATTGTAACAATAATTCTTATCTGAATACGAGATTTTATAACGATATCTCGTATTCAGTGTTAATTTATTTAATGATAAAGCATTGCAATCACTTAAAACACATTGATTTCTACGAGAGATATCATAACAAACAAAATACTGAAGAGTTTTTGGCGAAATTTGGCAAACAATTGGCAACAATCTCAAGGGTTTATTCGCCGGGAAATCAATTTAACGATTGGATTTATAAATGGCTCGAAGTGTGTATTAATTTGACTGCAATTGACATAAAGTTTGAGGAGTTGTCGAAAACACCGCTCGTATTGAGTGCTGGAAATGGTTTGCATTACAAACGACTCAATAGTATTCACTTGATATTCAATAAATCCAATCCAATTCCGACTGAATTTCTCAATGCATTTGAATTGTTTGCCAACAAATATGGTCACAAAATAAAGTCAATTGAATTAAGCTATTGTCATGGTTTTGGGCAACTATTGAATGGTTTGTCACAAATGCGAGCATTAATTACATTCAAAGCAAACATTTTCGGACCTCTAGATTGGCAATCGTTGGCACGAATCAGTCAAATATGTCCGCGGATTAAGAGTCTTACTATTAATGCCAGTCATTCAGAAATTACAGGACAACTGTTTGAAAACTTTCCACAATTAAAACGATTGGAAATTAGTCCAGCATTTGATACGTTAATGACAAGCGATTCATTGAAACAATTAACGCATTTGACTGTTAATAATAAAAGATTGAAAGCAATTCTTAGCGACACTTTCTTCGCTAATATTGACCACAATTTACCACAACTTCAAGAACTGAGACTCAATTTAGTGAAGATAACCGACGATGACTTGTATGCGTTGTCGAGACTCAAACACATCCGTCGCCTTCATCTCTACGGCTGTGCCTCAACTATATCTTCGGCAGCGCTCAACCATCTCATCAGTAATTGTCCTGATCTTCAATTTATAGCCATTTAATACAAAATGATTTAATAATTAAAGCATTTGTATTCTATATAATATTTTTATTTAAATAACTATATCATAATTATTACAATATGTGTCTGTATTTCTTACTTAATTATAAACACAATTATAAACATAAATTCTTCAAATTATTTCGCAAAATTAAAATTGTTAATTAAAATTATTTTATAAATTGAATTGAGTTTTCCATTCATTAAGCATATCGATAGTAACCGAAGCGCCGCCACATATGATCACAACTACCGGTCCATCAGAGTATTGGTCACTATTCTCGAGGAATAGTCTCTTAACTAATCCGGTATATAATGCGGACAAAGAGGCGCCACAAGCCTTGATAATGAATTACAAACATTTATATGAGTTATACATAAATATAACAATTAATATCAATACCAATTCGACGAGAATCCTGTGCTGATCGGCAAACCTAATACACGCGTCGACCGCATCGCTATCAGTGCAGAGATGGGAGAGTACGGGCGGCGCAGCTGTCGTACAATCGGCGGCCAATTGATCGCAGATAATGAGTGAACCCAAAGATTTAGCTATACTTGTAATGGCGGGGATTCTGACGGGACGGACAGTCTCTCCATTGGCTGCGACTACGGCTGCGTTCAAAGAGTCGGCTCCTATAGTCTCCATCGCCAGCACCGGCACTGATGTCCAGCCGTGACGTCTCATACCCTCAATAATGCCACAGAGAAGACCTCCTCCGCCACAACACGTGACAATCATCGATGGCTTCACATCCAAGTCCTCTGCGATTTCGTCAATCATTGTTGAGTGACCCGACCTTTGCATTCAAATAATACAATTAAATTATATTTAGCGCACATTCAGTCATGTCTTGTCTAACCATAGGATGGGATTATCAAAGGGATGGACATAAAGACAATTCGGTGATTGTTGGACAGCCTTTAGGGCCATATCATTGGCTTCATTCCACACCTCACCGGCGATGACCACTTCCGCCCCCTCTCTGGCGATCTTCTCTCGCGTAACACTTGAAGTAGTTTTTGGCACAAATACGCGACACTCGAGGCCTAACATACGGGCGGCGCAGGCAGTGGCCAGACCTGCGTTCCCTCCCGAAGACGATATGATTTGATCGCGTCCTTCGAGTGCGCCCTTCAATACAAAAGTTTATAAAAGTTATAAAATAAATGCAAATCCAGTTTAAACACGGGATGTATTGCCAGACCTGTTGGCAAAGACGCCCAACGCCTCGCATTTTAAAACTGGCCGACGGCTGACACGACTCTAACTTTAGGTACACTTTATTATTACAACATTGACTCAATTCTAAGCTCTCGATGAGTGGAGTTCTCACAAACAAATCATTATTATTTTTGGACATTTTATTCACAATTTGCAAAACTTTTAGCAAACAATTATAGAAATATTAGTGAAAGTTGTGAATTAAAACTAATTTTTATTTACGCTTTTATAGTAACACAATATTTATATTTTAATATAAATTTACTGTAAAATTGATAAACTCTTGTCTCTGTTTAATGTCTATTAAACTGATATCATTTAACATATGATAAACACATTCAGTATTTGATTAAAATACTTTATAGAGAAGTAATGTTACTAATGAACAAGTCTATACTGATTAACAAAGTACAGCATATCATTGAATATCAAAATAGTGGTGCAGTTTATGATAAAGTGGCACAACTTGATTAGCTTTATCGGGACATTACTTTCTTATGTTGTAAAACACTGTCTGTCCTTATAATGTGCTAAAAGGACAGACAGTAAGTACAGTGAAGTTGTGTTCAATGACTCATTGACAATGAGAATATTTTAAATATTTTAAAACAAATCACATTTTAGTTTTCATAACATTCTGTTAATTGTGTAAACATTTTAATCAATGACACCCGAACTCAATATGATATGATTAAAGCAAATATTTACACCATTTCTTGACCAACAATTTTTTAACTAATTTTTTATTTATTTTTCATATGTTTTCCATAATATATTTCCATTGAATAACATATTATGTTAACCATTAAATTGAAATTATTAATAACATCGTAAGAGAATATGAAAAGTTATCATGGAAATTATTTAGTGGTTTATTTTAAAATTATTTTTTAATGTTTTACAATTACAACATTTATAATAAAAATATACATTGCTACATTTGTGTACATTTATGTAAGGCTACAGCCATACAAATATAAATTATATTAAAAATGTACAAGTACAATTAAAAAATACCAACTTAACATGTGTATGATAAAAATTGTAATAAAGTACCCAAATAAATCAAACAAATAAACAAAAATATATTAGTTATGGTAACATAAATTTATTTTTGCAAAACATATGATTTCAATACAAATCTCATGCTCTAAACATCGATTGAATAACTGTCCAAATGTTTGACCAAAAACTGCGTCCACTCTTCACCCGAATGTCGACTAACTCTGGCGTAAAGACAGACATGAGTTCGTAATGAGTGAACATAAGTACCAAAAGTATCACTAGTTTTGGATTCATGTATACAATGACCAGAAGGTAGTTTATGGGAAAATCATTGAAAACAACCATTGAAAATGTGTTCAATTGATTTGAAATTCATATATTAAATCAAATAACTTAAACTCTCATTGAATTGAGTGTTGGGTTTAGTATTGATTCAATACTTCAATATTATTTCCGTAAAACATATTCTCATTCATTCGTTGAGTTTTTAATTCACTTTTAATAATTTTGTGGAAAAAATGTGTGAAAACTATAGTAAAGACTCTTTCGATAGATTTGGTGACGATTTGTGCGAAGAGTTGTTGTCTTTCCTCACATTCAAAGATCGGTTTCGTTGGGAAAGTGTATCAAAACAGTGGCAAAGAGTGGTATTCAAGAGTCAATCGGTGTTTAATAATGTGAACAATGAGTTAAAGAAATACTATTTGGACACAATTAAGACAATACTTGCAAAGTGTCCAAACATTACACGTGTTTATTGTGAAAACGCATTCTTTGGTTCAGACAATCAACTGATTGAATACCTTATTAAATACTGCAATCATTTGACACACGTTTGTATTTATCTCTGCCGTGATTTCGACCAAATTATTAACAAATTTTTGGCAAAATATTGTCAACAATTGAAAAGCATATCATTTTATTCCCCTTACGACTACTTGTCAATGAATATAATGTATAAATGCTATGAAAAGTGTGTGAATTTAACGACAATTGATTTACGATTTGACATATCGTGGAAAATACCCCTTGAATTGAGTGCTGCAACTGATTTGTATTACAAACGACTCAATAGTGTTCACATGTATTTCGACGACTCGTCTGAATATACAATTGAATATAAATTGAATTTGTTTGAAAAGTTTGCTCACAATTACGGCCACAATATTAAGACAATTGAATTAAGTATATACATAATTATCGACCAAAATATGATTAACAGATTATCGGATAGTTTAGCCCAAATGAAATCATTGATTACAATCAAGTTATTCATCGGTTACAACGAAAATTATCAGCAAATTTTGACACAAATTGGTCCTAAATGTCCGCAACTGAAGAGTTTATCAATTTTTTCTTATTCAACTAATCGTAGGAAACAAGTGTTGCAAACAATTAACGCAAACTTTAAACAATTGAAGCGATTGGAAATGAGAGCTTCAATCGATATAACCAGCGATTTATTAAATTCATTGAAACGATTAACGCATTTAAAGCTATGCCGTTGTTATGCTAAGTACATATCCGATGATTTCTTTGCTAATATTGACCACAATTTACCACAACTTCAATGTCTGGCTATATATGGAGTGATAATAACAGACAATGTGTTGAATGCATTGTCAAAACTGACACAAATTCGTTGCATTCATATCAGCGGTCGTTTCGATAAAGAGATTAACTCGAAGACAGTTGAAGATTATCTCAATACTAATTGTTCTCGTATTACAAGTGTTAAAATCGACGATTTAGACAAACATTAAATTTATTTATATTTGATTACATTATTTTCATTAATTTTTTCACAATTAAAGCCAAGAATTTGATTATTTAGATTTGGTTAACACTGGGAATAATATGAACACAACATTATGTAACAAATATTTTGAAATTAACCGACAATTTAATCAATTAGTAATAGCAACTTATTTAATAAGGCTTATAATAGTCACATAATTTATAATTGAATTGAATTAAATTTATTGTTATTTAGACACGAAATACATTCAACAAAAGCTGATTTCCAATGAAGACGTGTTTTAAACATATATAAAAAATTTAATTCTGGTGTTGGAAGTTATTTATATTTACAGACTTCAGGTGCTATGAAGTGAGTTATATGATTGTCTTATATTCAGTTGTCGTACAATTGATTTGCTAATCGTTTTTCAATTTGTGTTTTACAGATCATAGCATTGATTGCCATACTAATGAGTAAAAACTACACTTTACTAAAAAATATTACAGGTACAATTAAAAAAGTAGTGGTTAACATGTATATGATAAACAATTATAAAAAATTATCCAAAAAATCAAAACAAATAAACATAAAATATTAGTTATGATAACATAAATTTATTCTCGCAAAACATATTATTTTAATACAAATCAGATCTCATGATCTAAACATCGATTGAATAACTGTCCAAATGTTTGACCAAAAACTGCGTCCACTCTTCACCCGAATGTCGATCAACTCTGGCGTATAGACAGACATGAGTTCGTAATGAGTGAACATAAGTACCAAAAGTATCACTAGTTTTGGATTCATGTATACAATGACCAGAAGGTAGAGTACGGCCCGACACCTGACATATACGTTGAGTATTTTGTCACAAATCCTACAAAACGTGTCAATGGTTTGCCTCTTGTATACCAACTCTACGTTCGCGTAATTCTTCATACAATGCATACAATGTCTCTCTCCGTACGTAAGTATCAATCGCTGCAAACAGTTGTGACAAATGGCACCAACGGTTCCGCGACAATCGCACACCACATCCCTGTATAACAAAGTCCTCTCACTTTCCAACTGTTGCCCAGTATTGAGACAAACCCTACACGAGATCTGCTGTTCAGACATCGCAGACATATATACTTTTAATTTAAAACTTTTATAAATCATTTGTTTAATTATTTAAAATTAAAATAAAACTATTGTTACGAAAGAAAAGTTTTAAAAACTTTGCGATAAAATACAATTTAAAAATTAAAAGTGACATTTCTGTGATAACAATGTAATGAATGCATTGATTTCATGCATAATACCATATAATGCCTTATAATTTACGACACCAGAGTTCGTATTCATTGCATAAGAATATTCTGTAAGATTTTACAATAGTTTTAAAAAATGTATTTCAATACAGAATATGTTTATCTCATTCATTTGATACACTTTTTATGATCAAGTTGTAAAAGTTGTAATAATTGATTAAAGCTTAATAAAACATAATTTATGGGGAAATTTAAAGTCAAACATATTGTTATTCATTCGTCGAGTTTTTAATTAACTTAATTATTTTGTGTGAAAAATGTGTGAAAACTATAGTAAAGACTCTTTCGATAGATTTGGTGACGATTTGTGCGAAGAGTTGTTGTCTTTCCTCACATTTGAAGACCGATTTCGTTGTGAAAGTGTCTCAAAACAGTGGAAACGAGTGATATTTGAGAGACAATTGGTGTTTAATATTGTGAACAATAAGTCAATGAAATACAATTTGGCCACAATTGAGACAATACTTGCAAAGTGTCCAAACATTACACGTGTTTATTGTAAAAACGCATTCTTGGGTTCAGACAATCAACTGATTGAATGTCTTATTACAAACTGCAATCATTTGACACACATTTGTATCAATTTCTGCCGTCATTTCGACCAAATTATTGATAGGTTTTTGGCTAAATATAGCCAACAATTGCAAAGCATATCACTTGACTTCTTCTCGAGGAAAATGATGTATAAATGCTATGAAAAATGTGTGAATTTAACGGCAATTGATTTACGATTTGACAGTTCGCGGAAAATAGCGCTCGTATTGAGTGCCGCAACTGATTTGTATTACAAACGACTCAATAGTGTTGACATGTATTTCGACGACTTGTCTGAATATACAGTTGACTATCAATTGAATTTGTTTGAAAAGTTTGCCCACAATTACGGCCACAATATTAAGACAATTGAATTAAATTTAAACATAACTCTCGACCAAAATACGAGTAAAAGATTATCGGATAGTTTAGCGCTAATGAAGCAATTGATTGCAATCAAGTTATTCGTCTGGTATAATAAAAATTATGAGCAATTAGTGGCACGAATTGGTCCTAAATGTCCGCAACTGAAGAGTCTATCAATTTTTTCTCAATCAACAAATCTTAATAAACAAGTGTTGCCAACAATTAACGCAAACTTTAAGCAATTGAAGCGATTGGAAGCGAGTGTTTCAATCGATATAATCAGCGATTTATTAAATAATTTAAAACAATTAACGCATTTAAAGCTATGTTGTAATTACGGTGATTACATATCCGATACTTTCTTCGCTAATATTGATCACAATTTACCACAACTTCAATGTCTGGCTATAAATGGAGTGATAATAACCGACAATGTGTTGAATGCATTGTCAAAACTGACACAAATCCGTTGCATTGATATCAGCGGTCGTTTAGATAAAGAGATTAACTCGAAGACAGTTGAAGATTATCTCAACACTAATTGTTCTCGTATTACAAGTGTTAAACTCAATGAACACAAAATTATAAACAGTATATAACAAACATTTTGAAATTAACAATTTAATCAACACATGAATAGTCACATAATTTATAATTATCATAATTGTATTACCCATATGTTAACTCACAAAACATGTAATATTATATCAACATATAATAAACTACTTTCTAATATGAAATATGTATTTAAATGTTTATAATTAACAAAATGTTTTCTAAATATTTATCATTAGTTTTGGTAATCATTTTAATGAACTATTATTCGCCTGAAGTGAACGGCGATAAAGGGTTAGGCGTTAGGAGTAATGAATTCCGGATCCAATTCTTAACCCCTCGTCCTATTGTCCGACAGTCGACAACACATTCACCAGAAATGGCATTTGGTTTTCATTATATACTTATCGACAGTCGCGACAAGTAATGCAACAATTAGTGTATTATTTACTAAAACATTCAATCATTAAATTTATTTATTTATAATTTGAACACTCGTTGAAACGATTAACAATTAAATTCTATGATATAATTAATGACATAAAAACAATTAATTTGCCTAAATTACTAATAACTTAAATATATTTTAATTATTAATTTAGAAATTTCAAACAACGAACTGACTGGACATTTGGCTAAACAAGTGAACATGGTCGTATTAGTTGGTGGCAATTCATATAGAACATTTTTCTACTAAAAATTATCAAATTTTATTTCCAAAATTTCATTAATGTTCTTAAAATAACAAAATCTTAAATACTTTATGACATGATTTAATATTGAATATAATGAATATAATGTATTGTTTGTAAATTCCGTATCAATTCCTTATCAATAGTAAAAATTTTAAACATAAATCTCAAAGCAATTGTGTTTATCAATCAATAGGTGGAGATATTGGATACAATTGCTATCAATGACTAAACTTGATATAAACTTGTATACCGTTATGAAATATTAGGTTTAGTGGTCAGGGATTCGCCGCCACATAGTATCAATGGTCTTATAATCTGCTTAAATATTACAAAAAACTAACAATAAATTAATAGACATTAACGAGTGAGGGAGGAGTAGAGGGACAAGTGGTTTCATATATTCACAATATAAAGTACCAAGGTTAATATTAATAATTAATTATAATGATAAATTATAGTATAAATTTAATAGTATTAAACTGTTAAACACATTAATAAATATATTTTATTTTTTAATATTTATAATAAACGATCAGTTAATGACATTTGTGTCACTTTGAGGAATAGTATGGCAATCAATGCTATGATCT